GTTAAAATGAAAAAAAAAATAGCAATAGCAGTGACTAGTCAGAACTGCATGAAATACTTGACAGGAGTTTCATGATATCCAACAGGCAAGCAGTTTCCTAGGCACCAGCTGCTCAGTGAGACGTAGTAGGTCAGCATTATAAGGCTAAAGCATCAGCTTTAATTAAATCTAATTTCCTAGTCTTAAATCAGGAGTTAAAACTGATTATATTGCTTTCATTTTCTTGGAAGCCTAAAAAAATCATGTCCTAAATACTCATTAATTCAACCACAAAGATTTGCAGTTTAGGATACCTTCTACATCTACTTTTGTATTTCAAAGCAGTTCTTATGAACATTACAGACTGATTTAATGTGAATTGCTCTAGTAAAATGTGTGCAGAAATGACTGGCAGAACATAAACATTCATAAGACATAGACATAAAAGAAAAAGTGGACCTATTGTACCCAGATTATAATTCTGAAAATGAGGGCATGATATTAAATTACCCAAAGGAAGAACAGGAGAGAAAGTGACCTCCCAGAATATGAAGGTGGTAGAAAATGCTAATAAATTGCTCATCTCGGTTTAATAATTTAATATGAACTGCATAAAATAGAAAGGCCACTTAGGAAGGCACACAAAGCATTTTTAGCTATCAATATTCAATGCTAGTAATGAGAAAATTAAAGACAGCGCAACCTAGCAGCACTTCTCCAAGCAGTGAGGAAGCCACAGGTAAGATCCACATTTGTACTCCATGGCCTTAGAGAAGTCTGAAGAGCAGAAATGATATCTAGCAAACAAATTTCACAGTCTCTTTCCTCTCCTTGTAAAATTCTGTTTGGTTTCAAGTGGACATTATTAATGCAAACTCCCAAAATTTTGCTTTGCTCTAAAGAAGCAAACAAATCAATAAATCATATGTGGAAAACAGCACAGAGGGAAGGAAGGGGAATTTGAGAGAGGACATTAATAGGTATCTTGAAAAGCAGGCATAACACATAAAGACCATAGGCTTAGATTATATGATTAAAGTCTTAGATTATATGCTTAAAGGCTTCTAATGGACTTCCTTTGGGAATATAATACGCCTTTCTTTTACTAGTTTGGCACTCTTAAAACAGCAACAAACTATATCAAACCTGAGAAGTCCTGCTTTTGCAGATCTGTTCTGATAAAATAGCGCAAGGAAACTGTACTGTCATCTAATCTATGAGTAAGGCCCATGATCAGTGAAAACATTCCTAAATGATGGTGTTAATGTGCTATTCTCCTCCAGCTTTGACTCAGAAAGTTGGTTTTTGGTTGTTGGCTTTTAAGTGTCATGTGGAATTCTAAAGACAGCAGCCCAGGAACTAACAAGGAGAACCAAATAACCGCGTCATTTCCCCTCCCCTTTTAGCATGGGGAAACAGAAAACAAGCAGAACCAGTACCACCATATAGAAGCAACTGGGCAGTTATTACTAGTTTCAAAGAGTTTAGATAGGGTGATACTAAAAATCTACAGTGATAACTTACAGTTCCTTTCCTTGAAATTCACAGTAAACAAGGAATCATTCTTTTAGGAGTTATCTGCCCATCCTTCCACATAAGGGGTTAACACAGGAAAAGTCAAATATTTGATGGAACCAAGATGCAACCCTTACATCTACCAAACTGGAAATTAGATTCAAAGATAGAACGCTATTTTAAAATTGCTAATTATATTTCAGAAATCTGTAGTTCTCTGGTTTCTGTTGTTAAAAATTCTGCATTCCTTGGTATCTCACTATTTTTTTCCTATGGGTACAGCTGGAAACTAAAACAAGAAACTTGAATCAAATATGGACACCTTAGAGCAGCCTTCCAGTACCTGAAGAGAGGCTATAAGAGAGCTGGAGAGGGACTTTGTAAAAAGGCATGTAGTGACAGGACAAGGAGGAAATGGTTTTAAACTGGAATAGGAAAGATTTAGATTAGATACCAGATAAAAATTCTTTACTATGAGGGTGGTGAGGCCCTGGAACAGTTTGCCCAGAGCAGTTGTGGATGCCTCATCCCTGGCAATGTTCAAGGCCAGGTTGGATGGGGCTTTGAACAACCAGGTCTAGTGGGAGGTGTTGGAATTAGATGAGGCTTAAGGTTTTTCCAACCCAAGTCATCTCTAAGTGGAAACAGACTAGGTTTGTGCAACTAAGGTGGCACCCAGGTATGGGATAGGCATTTAAAATATAGATTTAGAAGAACTGACAGTCACTGCTTTGATTAAAGGAACTTGGAATCATATAGATAAGTAGGCAGACTGCAGTCATGCATCTAGCATAAGAAAAAACAGAGATACCGATTCAGGGAAGAAACTACCAGATGATTCCTCAAGGAACATAATGACTTTTCTAAATGCTCAGAAATTCCTCTTATCCAAACATCACCAAATAGCAATCTGAAGAAAAAGAAAAACTAAAACCCAACCACAGTAGGAATACAGGTCCTTCTTTAATTACAGGTTTCTGCAAAGAGACCGGTAGTAATACCTCCTGTAATTTTTATAAGCATTCAAGAGAAAGAAGAGCTTTGTGCTTATCTTTTAAAAGCAGTGCAGGGAAAAGGGGGAGAAGAGCAGAAAGAAGCGCTGCAGAAATCTGCCAGCAAATATACAGGAAGATGCACATTCATAAGTTTAAACAAGGACTCTAAAGAATTGACTGCAGCTGTACATAAAACACCCGCAAAACTGAAGAGACAATTGAACTTCAACTTAAGAATTTCCACTTACTTCATATTCCTTCAAGAAACGTAGAATTTTAAGAGGCCCACAAAGGCGTAAAAAGGCATTGGAGAACTACAAATCTTAAATTTCATTATAACCTTGGAGGACAAGCTGTTCTTACATAGCTCCACTAAATGGTTAGAAGGGAGAGATTTTGAGAACTACCTTAAAAAGAGATTTTCTCCTCACTTCCTAGAGTGAAAAATTTGCTATTACCTCTGCAAACATCTTCTGTTTTTAAACCTGAGTAATAATTTCGAGTAGACTACTAGGACTACAAAGCAACTGTGAGGCAACCTGCCTTTCTACAGAAAATTATCCTGCATTATTTAAGATTTGGCAGTTAAATACAGAAAGCAAGTTGTATTTCTCTGTACAGTTAAACTTAGATCAAAAAACATTCTTCTTTTTTCTAAGGGAACCTAAAGCATACACACTCATGGTTAATTTTTTAATTTTTTACTTGCTGGGTTCATGCTTTGCCCACTTGGGCAACTTGAGCAATAACTTGGCTGTTATTTGTGCAAAACTCTGTGGGAATTTCAGTTATTTTTCTCAAATATGCAGAAAAATGTAGCTGGACGGAACCAAACTTCCAAAAAAAGAAACAGAAGATATTCAAAGAGATTAGATATAGATCATAAAAATACTTAAGGTTCCTTTTGAACAGTGCAAGTTATGACATCACTTCTGAGTGTCTGTCCACAGAAAAATGCTCAGATTGACAGCAACAGCCCCACAAGACAGATCTAAGATCTGTTCAAAGATCCATGGTGATGAGAAGTATCTTCTCATTACTTCATACTTCTACTGTCTCTTTGTATTCATGCTTAATTATATGCTGCTACTTTGGTCTGTGTTTGGCCCAGTCATCTGTGGGTCTATTCTTTTCCTGCCAAGTTATGAGAAAACAAGCACTGATAAATGGGAACTTTGTCTTTGAAGGAAGTATTTTGTATAAACTATAATTAATTGGTACCTCACTATTGGCTGATGGCCCTTCAAGGGCATTTGACGGAGAAAGTGAAGAGGAGGAGGATGAAGTAAGCCGCATTTTCATTTAGGAAAGACCCCCCGAGGTGTAGCACGCAGGCACAGGGAAATTCCAAGGTACCCACGCATGTGCAGAAGAGATGCCACCTGGATAACGGGGGGAGGGACCAAAGGCCTCTAGCTGGGCGGTGCTGACCACACCTGCCCAGGTAGACATCACCACTTAATTGTATAAAAAGCAGATCGCTTGTGCTGGGAGTGGAACTCAAGCTTCACACTGAAGGACCATGTTGCCTTTTGCGGGGATGGCCACCATCTTGTGAGCCTGCCGACACTCCAAGAATGCAGCTGCTGCTATGGGCATTCTGGGGTTGGTAAGAGAAGCTTCGTACGCAACACCTGAGTGAGTGGGGGGTCGTACTGAGGGCTTATTTTCCTCCTCCTTCCTCTCTCTCGGGTTCTTGTTTTGTTGTTTTATTACCTCTTGGTAATAAATATTGTTCTTGTTGAGCTTTCAACGGTGTATGGTTTCAGTTTCAGCATCCTCCCTGCTACCCTCTTACAGAAGAATCCACTTCCTCTAATAAAATAAAAGTCTTACATTCACATTATAGTTCTCTGCAACTTATTTTAACACACAAAATTACTGGAGCAGTTCCAAATACCATTCATTCACAAAGTAGTGAAGTGGGCAGGGAAGCTATGATAATTATCATAATCACCTTAGATACCACAGGAGAGAATGTTAAAAAATAACTACTCAAAATTGGTAATTTATTAGGACAAAATGGGACAAAGAGCCTACAAATTCATTTAAATTATACATGAGCATTCCACTTAATCAAGTAAAAAAAAAAATCATACTATCAGTAAATTGATATTGTTAAACCTGTTCGATAGTTAAAAATCTTTAAATTTGAAACAGAAAACAGACAATGAAAAAAAACTCAAGACTTCTAAGAAGTGAAAATATCTATGTCTATGCATTTGGAGACACCTTTATAAACCAGGTAGAGGAAACTGGAAGTCTAGTGTTTTCCTACAGATAAGTTAAAGAAGTAGCTTACCCCTTAGTTTCACCCAATTTAATCTGTCACAAATACCATCACAGTCATAAATGAGAGTAAATAGGCAGTGTTTCATTGTAATTTTCACTCAAAAAAGAGAGCCAAATAATGCAGCATATATGTCTGCAAAGACAAATAAAAAAACAACTCAAAGATTTTTTTTTAAATACAAGCACACAGTAGAAGTAAAAAAGAAAACTGAAGACGAATTGATATAAAAATCAGTATTTATGTAAAAAAATAATGCACTGTATACTGTAAAATCAGTCAGTCACAGTATTCACCTTCACACAGATTTCTCCATTTTCAGTCTTCAAAAGGTTACACAGCAAGGAAAAGAGATCTACATGCAAGGCAGACTGCTTCCTAATTTTCATCCCAGAAATTTACGCCCTGAGCCCGCAGGGAGATTAGAAACAGAATATAAACTCTGCTTACAGTGTAGTGCATTTTTGTACTGCTAAAGCATTTGCTCAACTCACATGAATCTGGAAATCAGAGGCATCCTACTTTTGACATGGAAACAGTCACAAAAATTAAGCTTCTAAAATAGGGTTGGGATGAAGGTGCAAGTCAGTGAGTGGATCCTCCATGTTCAACACACAGGAACTTTTCTGGAATCCAAAACCTCACTTTATGAAGACTTCATCTCACTTAGACAGGTTATCTAAGTTTAAATACACTTTACAAATACATTTTATACCATGTAAGCTTAAATATTTTACTGTAACACTAGAGTTCTGCCTTTTTCTTCATCATTTTCTCTGGGAAAAAAGTTTGTATTGCATAAACAGTACTTCTTTTTTCACTAAGACAGTTGAAGAAAGCCTAATCCTTACCTGTTGCAAATCACTATCACCCTATTGACAGTAATGTATTTATTGCATTGAGAGTCTGCCCCAAAGCTATTTTAAAGCCATGTTATTTAAAAATATATGGTAACAGGATATATTCTCTAAGAAACTTATCTACTACCCAGTCTGATGAAGCATCAGAACTCTTACTACAGCTCTTCACTTTTAGGTCCTACATACTCTATAACAATCATCAGGTAATAATTCCTAGTATGGAAATACAACAGCAACAGATTTCCACTGTTGGGTTTTTCTTGGCTTCCCAAATGCCCTATTAAAGCTGCAAAACCATGAATTTTTTAAAAAGTATCATAAGACAAGTAACTTCAAAATGAATTTTTACTTAAAACCCCCTCAACTCTGCTCTGCCTTTTAGAGCTAATGGCTCTACAATGTTCAAACAAATGCTTTTTAATATAAAGTCTCCGTATTTACCAATGGAGAAAACTAGTATCACATACTAGTTATCACCTTCTCAGAAAATCCTATTTATATCGTGCAGTTCACATCTGAGATAAACAAGATTGTCAAAACAGTACTTCAACATGTAAGAGATGAACATGTAAAGGCACATACAGATTGTCGATAATTACAACCCATTTTGTTGAAAACAGAGTATTTTCTGCACTTGTAAACAACTTTGTTTACATAAAGGCTCACACCTTTAAAGTGAGATTAGTGCTGCTGACTCAGTTATTGCTACATTCACAGTTTTAACATAATTTTAGACAATATATGAGGTACACTCTCAAACAGAGCCATCTTCATTTCTTCCTTGTTTGTTTGATCATTAGATAACTGAATTACGGTCAGACTAAAAGTACTGACCATAGAAGCCAGTAACACGCAAATCATCAGAACCAAGATAAACATTAGCAGTGATTAAACTTCAAAAGAGCAAAAAGTCACCTCTGCAGAAAAAAGTTCCTGTTCTTCATTACATGAATATTTTCTTCATTTTTATGTATGCTAGTAAACTTCTGGCTGGGCACATTAAGAGCCCATTCAAGCTGTATTAAAATTCTTGCATCTTTTGACCAGTATATTACTTCAGTCTCTTGATATAACAGCTAGGAGTCAAAAGTCACCTTCCCTTTGATCTTCTGGCATACAAGTCTTTTATGCTTTTTGTTAGTTGTTTTATGAATACTTTGTAAACTCTTCCACAGTATGTATGCATGGTTTTCTGTAATTCCAGTTCTAGGGGCTGCAGCAGTGAGTGAACCAGATCATCTCCAAATGAATACTGTAAAGAGGTTAAGAAAAGAAAATTTAAGGTCTATACGGAAGATTGTCATTGTTCAGAGGATTAGAATTTTATAAAAATGTTTCTGAGCATCGTATTTGCTTTCTGTAGGTTTATTAAATGTTTTCAAGCATTCAGAGTGCTTCTGAATGCAATAATTGCAAAACACCTCCAAAGTATAGAAATATTCTCTAGTGCTTTCAATAAGCATAACATGGAAGACTTTATTATTTTTAAATGTAAGCAAATGAACATATTCAGATAGTCTAGGAAGAAATTTAAAATTACCTTTCAAATTAAAAATTTACAGATCTAAAATGATTTCCGGTTATTTTTCTGGTTCTATGGTAACTTTCTCAAATGGCATATAACCTTTAAGTAACATAATTCTTACCAAATTATAACGAAAGCAGTATGAAAAGTGATAGATCTGAAGTTTCATTAAACTGAATGATGGTCAAACACATACTATGTTTAACATAGGCATGAAATAAAGCAGTCATTAATTCAACAGTGCTATATTTTTATAAACAAATGATAAGTTAAAACAGCACATTGAAGTAACATAATTTTGTTCATCGTATTACCATTGAATCAGCAGTGTTTTACATACTTTCTCTGACACGTTCATATACCAAATGGGATCATATATAACAGGAAATAATTTTTTCTTCTGTTTTTGACAATACTCAAAGGAAACAAAGAAAACATATTTTTATGGAAACACAATCACTTTCCCTGCAATGTATTCTCAGACCCCCAGAAGTACTTTTCTTCGTTTTTATATCTATATGACAACATGTAATAAAGCAACATTAAAATATACTATTGATTTTTGTAGGTTATACACACACAATAGCCTGCTACATTAAAACGTGCATCAGTGCTAAATTTTATGGCTCTTCAGTGAGTATACTGATGCAGCGATAAATAGTTTATTAGACAACTTATTTGCAGAATGAAAAGACGTCACTGTGCTTAGTATTTAGAGGAACAACAATATATTAATACACTGAATCTCTAGAAAAGGTCAAACACGGTATATAAAAAGTTTTTTCCAATCCAAATCTAGACATAAGTATTAAAATGTTGCAATAAATACTTAGAAACTTTGGGAATATGAGGTTTTTCCTGCATTTTAAAATATCCAGAAAAATAAAGCTTCTGGTGATGGCTTGTTCAGCCTGGAGAAAAGGAGGTTGGGGAGAGACCTCATCGCGGTCTACATGTTCCTCACAAGAGGAAGAGGGGGAGCAGACACTGATCTCTTCTCTGTAGTGACCAGGGACAGGACTCGAGGGAATGGCCTGAAGTTGTATCAGGAAAGGTTTGGGTTGAGTATTAGGAAAAGGTTCTTCACCCAGAGAGGGGTTGGGCACTGGAACAGGCTCCCCAGGGAAGTGGTCACAGCACCAAGCCTGTATGAGTTCAAGAAGCATTTGGACAGTGCTCTCAGGCACATGGTGTGACTCTTGGGAATGATCCTACGCAGAGCCAGGAGTTGGACTTCAGTGATCCTTGTGGGTCCCTTCCAGTTCAGATATTCTATGATCTCCAAATGCTCATGTAAGAAGTTTACCAGACGATTCATTAAATGAATGAGAATACAGCCTTTTAAATAAGCATTGACGACTATGGGCAATGCTTTAGAATCCTAACTTAAACATAGTCTGCACTATGTTTCCAAAGATGCTCATCACAACAGGAATATACTGGAACTTCATCCAAATAATAAAGAAGAAACCGATGAAACAAAGTTGCTTAAAAGAGAAAAACATTACTTTGTTGCAATTAAGGTGAGTATCAAACAAAATACATGCAGCACTACAGATAAAAATACTTTAAAAAATAATAAGTACAATGCTGAAAATACTTACATTTTTTATTGCTTCATAGACAGCCCTAAAAGTTGGTTGTTTATCATCGTGGTACACACCTCTGTTTCCATGAAGAATAAATATACCTTCTTCTTCAGCTGCCTTACAATTGCTTCCATAGATGCAGTGGTCAGGTCGATAATTCCATTGGCAAGGAAAGACATAAAGACTTTCTGTGTGGAAAAATGAGAGCTCTGGATTAAGTATCAAAATTGTCTCAGGAAATATACCAATCTCTTTTTTTTCTTAAGGCTGCTTCATAGATTTCTCTACAGTTGTTTTGAAATCTAACAGTTCATTGCACTCTAACAAGCTCCAGTGTTGTATCTCAACATAAACTCCAGAAGTAAATACTTTCAGAGAACAAAAGGAGCACATAGTCCCTTGAATGCTTTCACAGAAAAGTCTGCTAAAAGAGTATTTTCCTAGATTTTTAAACATCATGGAAAAGATCAGCTTTCTACTGTTAGACTTAAAATCAATGTGGATTTACCTGGATTGTGAAAAAACATAATGTTCAATAGATCCTGATCACCCCATGTTATGTTCAACTTGTATTTTTTCAGTAGTGGCATAAGAATTTCTCCCCACTGTAACCGGACTGGTGTCATATCATTCTATGAAGCAAAAGGCAAAACAACACACATTCAAGAAAATTATACCTACAGTATGTAAGGAAATGCCTTACACAATTGCAGTAATTTGCATTTCAAAGTTACAACTCAAATGTATAGATGATTTCTTCCTTTTAAACCAACAAACCCATCTAAGGAAAATAGTTATGGACACTTCCAATATGCTTTATTTCTCAATTATTAACTTAGAAGGAAAATTTGATGCATTTCCTACTTCTGTTACATTAGATTTTTGTCTTCAAGATTTTCTTCAAACATCTTAAGCCAAGAGTTCTAAGAAATGGCAAGGTTTTTTTACGCAGCAGTAGGATCTAACACCAAAACTTAATGAAGTGATGCAGCAAGTAGATGGGGAGTATTTAAATATCCACACTTCATGCACTTTCTTTATCACAGAGTGATAAATATACACAGGTTCTAATGTTAACTTCAAAAATTCAAACCAGTTCAATACAAAATTAATTCTTAAACAGTTCCAAACATACAGACCACAAATACAGGCTACAACATAGTGTACAAAAACACAAAGATCCATCAAAGGTTTTCAAAAGAATTTTCATCCAGTTGAACTAATTTTTTTTAGTTACTAAACTTGAACTTCCACAGCAAAGGCATGACTTTTCACTAGTAAAAGTCAGTAAGATATTAAACCAACAGCTGTTACTAAATACCAAATTTCTTGATTTAGCAGAATCGCTTCAAATTGAAAGAAGGAGTTCTTCTTCTAAGGTTCTGGTTACGAGGGTGCTACTTGGAGTAAACTGGTTTACCGTTTGCTCTTTTGGCCATATTACCAAATCTGCAGTTTAACTGGTTACATATTCCAAAGGTAATTTCTTATCTTTACACTATATTTAAGGTCAACTAGAACAGAAAAGGAACAAGGTTGCTCACTCTCTACCTTGTACTTCAGTTGTGAGAGTGAAATGGAATAATAAAAAGTTCCAGAGAAAATTCCTAACAAGTACAGAATTGTACCCTTCCTTCTTTTTAACAGGTTGCCAAAAAAAATACTAAATTAGAACTCCAGTATAGTTTGAGATTTGCATACAGGAATATCATATTAAGAGACAGATTACTAGGAGCAGAAGACTCAGTTTTTGAATTACAGTATCAAAGACTTTCTTCTCTGAGCTTTACACTGACAAACTACAAAGTGCACAAATTAGCAGTTCAGTTTTTATTCTTTCCTCAAATCATTTCAGCCATCGAATATGAAGGGTTTTTAGAACTGAAGACTAAAACACGAAATACTATCAGATTTCAGACAAGAATTACTAAAAAAAAAAAAATCTATAGCTTATATTGTGTAAGAAACCAAACAGAATATTACAGTCCCTTCTGTCCTAAAAAATTTATGATTATGATTGCCTGCAAGTATTCAATGAGAGCAGGCATAAGAAATGCATAAGAGAATTCTTCTCTAGTAAGAATTATCATTAGACTCAGTGAAATGTGATTAAACAAAATAAAACACAGGCTTAACACCAAGCTAAAATCTTCCAAAAAGCAAATAAATTGGACTGAATCACAGTGCATAAAGATAATTCCCTCACCTGAACTTTGCCATCCATAGAATATTGACCGAAATATAACTTTAAGTTATTAAAGTCATTATTTAATATAATTTTCATTTCACTTGTAGAGTTTTAATAGCAGTATATCCCAAGAAGACACAAAGCAGGAAACAGCATATATCACATAGCCAGACATCTAGAAACAACACTACTACATTACTACTGACAAATAATGCAGTCAGATTTAAGTACTGGAAACTGTAATATTTCAATAACCTTGCATAAATAAAAAGGACTAAACATTAATTTATTAACAGTGATGTATAATGACATCAGCATAGGAGTCACAGAGCAAGAGAAACTACTAGAAGTTATACGTCCTCCTTCTTTAAAACACTCTATTGTAACTTGTGGTGAGGTTAAACAGCTTGAGAAGTAGAATGCTGATAGAACTGCTTTTCAGAAGTTTGTCAAGTAAATTTCAGAAACAATTCTATGATAATTTAAGGATTTTCAGAACATAAGCCTTCTTTCCAATATTCAACAACAAGCAATGAATGTTAAAGAGATTTAGGAAAAAAACACACAACGGTAGTGGGCATTTCTGTGATGCCATCATAGCATCATAGAATCAGCCGGGTTGGAAGGGACCTCTGAGATCATCAAGTCCAACCCTTGGTCCACTACCACCATGGTTGCTAGACCATGGCACTAAGTGCCACATCCAGTCTCATCTTAAAAACCTCCAGAGAGGGAGAATCCACCACTTCCCTGGGCAGCCCATTCCAGTGTCTGACCACCCTCTCTGTAAAGAATTTCTTCCTAATATCTAACCTAAACCTCCCCTGGCACTGTTTAAGACCAGGCCCTCTTGTCTTGCTGATAGCTGCCTGGGAGAAGAGACCAACCCCCATCTGGCTACAACCTCCTTTCAGAGAGTTGTAGAGAGTGAGGAGGTCTCCCCTGAGCCTCCTCTTCTCCAGGCTGAACAGCCCCAGCTCCTTCAGCCTCTCCTCATAGGACTTGTGCTTGAGTCCCTTCACCAGCCTTGTTGCTCTTCTCTGGACCTGCTCCAGCACCTCAATATCCTTCCTGAACTGAGGGGCCCAGAACTGGACACAGCACTCCAGGTGTGGCCTCACCAGCGCTGAGTACAGGGGAAGAATCACTTCCCCGGTCCTGCTGGCCACACTCTTCCTGATCCAGGCCAGGATGCCATTGGCCTTCTTGGTCACCTGGGCACACTGCTGGCTCATGTTCAGCTTCCTGTCAATCCAAACTCCCAGGTCCCTTTCTGCCTGGCTGCTCTCCAGCCACTCTGTCCCCAGCCTGTAGCGCTGCAGGGGGTTGTTGTGGCCAAAGTGCAGGACCCGGCACTTGGCCTTGTTGAACCTCACTCTGCTGGAATCAGCCCAACTCTCCAGCTTGTCCAGGTCCCTCTGCAGAGCCCTCCTGTCTTCCAGCTGATCGACACTTCCCCCCTAGCTTAGTGTCATCTGCAAATTTGCTGATGATGGACTCAATCCCCTCATCTAAATCATCAGTAAAGATATTAAACAGAACTGGGCCCTACACTGATCCCTGGGGGACACCACCAGTGACCGGCCGCCAACTGGATGCAGCACCGTTCCCCACCACTCTCTGGGCTCGGCCCTCCAGCCAGTTCCTAACCCAGCACAGGGTGCCCCTGTCCAAGCTGTGGGCTGCCAGCTTTTCCAGGAGTATGCTGTGGGAGACAGTGTCAAAGTGATATAGACAGGTTCTTATGAACTCTCAAAACTCTAGTTTTATTTGAGCAGAAGAAAATGTGCAAGAAAAAATATAAATAGAGACCATCAAGATGTTTTCCTACATTTTGGAGTTTTTTGTTTGGTTTTTTTTTAGATGCTGTGCTTTAAATAGTTTGGTCATTACCCATTTGGGTACCAGAAAACTTCTGCCTGACCAAGGCTAAAGTCAGACTTAAAAGAGCTGTCACATTTAGCCTTGTATTACCTTTTTCTTAATTCTAGTAAGAAAATATAAAACTGAGGAAAAATTCTCAAATCATAGAGCAATATCTAAACCAGTTGCAGCTGTGTCCCACAAACAGTTAACCAACTTAGAGCCAGCCCTCTTCCTTCTGGTTACATAACTCTATCCTGCTTTTGCACTAGCAGCGTAGTACTAACACTTATTGAATCTTTTTGCAAGCTGATTTACTTCCATAACCCAGAAGAAGGATATCTTTTTTTCTACTGTTACCAAATTTAATTGAATCAGAGAAAGGACCAACAGACACCAGAGGCTAAGACAAAGTAAATGAGAAAAGCAGGGAAAAGGTGGTAAGAGACAGGAATCTTGCTTTTAGAAGCAATTAGTTCTTTCTTGGAACAACAGCCCTAAGCACATCTGAATGGTAAAAAAAGAGTTTATAATGGCTTAAGTCATAGAAACTCTCTGATTATTTATTTTTTTCCTAAAGCATACCCATGAACCTCTACTTTGCACACTCTATTTGGACTTAATTTGTTGGGGGCTTGTTTCATTTTCTAAGAACTTTCTAAGAACAAATACCACCATATCTGTGGTATTTGCTACATCTCTCCCAGTTTAAAAAAATAACTACATCTATATGTGTACAAATACAAAAGAAGTTACCTACTACTCTCTCTTCCATATCCTAAATACTCTTGCGTGTTTTACATTCCCATTTTATAACTGCTCCTTAGCAAAGACAACATGCAGGCACTAACCATCAGAAGCTCCATTATGGATTCTAGTCTCATGCCCAGTTATGCACTGGATACTTGTCTAAAATGACTAAACCTGACAGTCCTAAGAAGATTGAGGCTTTAATAAGAAAGTGGATAAAAGACGATTTAATGCTGGAGCAATACATGGAACTACAGGTTTATTGCTACCTAGACAAACACTGTAACCTTTAGCTGAAGTCTCTGATTCTACTTTTTATTTATCCATCTTCTGGCTCCTCCTGACTTTTATAAATCAATGTGACAAAGAAGAAAGATGCTCAGAGGCCTCAAGCAGCTCAGTCTGTAATTTTGGGCTGAAAAAACTACAACAGACAAAGAACCCACAGTTTTAAATCCACAGCATTAGAGAAATATCCTGATTCAAGACTTCCACTGTTTAGATAAATGCTCTAGCCACTACAGTGTCATATAAAAAAGACCTAGAGACAGCTTTTAAAAGATACAAAAATTCCCAGAATTTGTTGAGCCTCCTGAATGAATATAAACAAATTCAGACATTCCTATAAAACAATGAAGCATTTTCTAGTTCTACTGTATTTGACTGGAATAGTTCACAGGACACAACATGGAACAGTTACCTGTAAGGTCCAAAAGCATCTGCAGTGTTGTTGGCAAGGGGTATTAGCCCCTACCCCTGAATTTAGGACAGACCCTACACCTACCCTCTCTCTTCCAAAGGGTTGAGATTAGTAGCTCCTTTGCTACTGTGTATAGACTCAACTACACTAAATCTTTTTCAAAGTTTTGCTGTGAGGTTGCAATATTTCCTAATGACCAATCCTCCTTTTATTAAGCCATTCAAGGAACCTGAAGAAGAAAACAGTCTCTGTGAGTCTCCATGAACAGTAGAGTTTTTGTAATAAAGCTTGTGCACTTTTGGGGCCCTGTTACACTCTGCAAGCTTGTGGGACCACACGCTAGGTACTAAGGGAGAATAAACTAAATGGCTCCCCTGCTGAGTGCTCTCTAAAGCTCTCAATAATCAATATTGTATAACAACTGATTTCCTCCTTAGTCATTACCCAGGCTGCACTATCTCACTATGATAGAGGAGGAGAATGATCAAGCACTATCACTCCTAAATTTCAGGTAACCTAGTAGGTCTCTTGATTAGACATCCCCAAACTGTTCTGGCTGGACTGAAAATGCTACCACAAACCTGATACTACAGGACACTTTCCAAAAAGTAAAAGGACTAAGGTAGCAGTATGGTTTAGAAATCATGAGGTAATCTCCTGTCAGAGGCAATTCTGAGCCTATTTTACTTTTTACAATCAAGCAAGAGTGAAAGAATATTTCTTTAGGTGCACCACTAATCCTAAATGTTTGAGGAACAGTCACAGCGCACACAAAAGCACTCCTGGACAAATATGAGGTTCAGAAGACATATGAAAGCAAGGAACAGAAGTACATATGCATCACACATGGAAGCAGAAGTCTAAGTTTGAAGTGACAGTAATGGTCTAGAAAGGATGCCAAAGAACTATGACTAACTATTATGAGCAGAAAATGATGTATTTCTAACATTTAAAACAACTGAGCATGGGAATGAGTTAATTGTCTTTTTTATTATTTTTGTTAACTAAATTCATCAAAAAGGGCTTTGAATCATGTGCTTTGCTATTAGGAAGCTTTGCTTTGTTCCTGCCTCCCTTTCTCAAGTGCTGTTTCATAATTCTGAATATTTAGTGTAGTAGCACTGGGTAGCTAACTCCAGTCTCAGTTCCTTTCCCTTAATTGTATGATTGCTTAGCCTGCAACTCATCAAGCAGACTTGTTTTTAGTACAGCACATACTGAACAATCTGAGCATTAAGATGAATGTTTTCAGAACAATTCAAGAATTGTTTTTGTTCTGATTCCCCATAAGAGTTATGACACACTATCTTCCTCACTACAGAAAGAAGTTCAGTGGCCCACTTAGCCAGAAACTGTCCATCATGTTAGGTATACCAAAGTTTGCCAGTAAGATCATGAGAAAAGCATACGGATGTATGCCTTGCCTTACTGTGAGGTCTTATAAATCAGATATTCACTCCTGTAATAAAGAGCAATTATAAAAAATTAACTTCCTCCAAGGCTGGTTTTCATTGAACAGTCTGACATGTTTCATTGCATAATAAATACACATGGCAATACCAGGAATATGTAGCAGATATTTTTAGGACTTGGAAAATATTCCAGTCCTCTAGAGCCAAGGGAAAGTGGCAATGTTCCATTTTGAATTTCAAAATACTCATTAATTATTTCACCTACATAAATCTGTATATATAAACCTAAATTTGAAGAAAACACCAGTTTTAGGTGTTAAGGAGAAAGGACTTCATATTATTCTCTAGAAAACAATAGTTAATTTTATTGACAATTTTATTAGCCTACATAATATGCATACTTTTGAAAATTTTAACCCAAATTTTAGTAAAGACACATCAAGTTTCCAATGAATTGATAATCTAAGCTGTACTGAGAAGCCCAACTAGAATTTTGGTACAGTATGAATAAAAGACCAACTTTTTTTTTTAGTGTGGTAAACACTACAATAACTCACTACGCAGAACTGCATTGTCAGAGGTTAAGATACACGCAGTTTTCAGTGCCATGTTTTTCTCATTATACTTTTCGGTATTTTCATTTCTCCATATGCTATGAACAGTAAAACAAACAAATAGAGTAGACAATGCAAGATTTCACTGATGACATATACAGAGAAGTTTTCTTCTTGGAGAAAATACAGCTATATACTACAGCTTTCTACTTTAACTGCAACTGAGATAATTCATTCCCCATTTTTCTTAAATTCTCTGAATTTTCCTAGCAACAATACATAGCAAGATTTTGAAGATGAAAGCTGTTTATTAAATTGAAAACAGGGGAGAAGTAATGTCTATTGGAAGTTTATATTGTCCCTCTTACGGATGCACTTCCAAAAGTTTTTGACTGCATGACTATTTTTCCCTAATCAAACTTCTCTTAAGCAGAGATGCACTGTTCCCCTAAGCATAATCACATAGCACTGTTTTTGTCCTTGTGTTTCAAGTATGTAAGAAAAAAACTTCCCATTTAAGAAGCAACGTCCATTTCTACTGCTGCATGCACTGCTTTCATGCATGTAGTAGTAAATACTATCATGATGAACTAAATTGTCTACAAAACTATGACTTCATAGTAAATAAAAAGATACTTAGGGTGATAACCACCTGGTTACAATGTAAAAGATCAAAATTTGGAAACCTTCGTTTTAAACACCTTATTAAATGTTTTAGCACCACCTCCTGGTCATACAACTACACATAGTACAAGTTTATTTTAACTTTTTTTCTGGGATCGCTACACTGAATTAAAAATGCTGGCATATCTACTGGCAAATGTAATTTAGAGCAAATTCTACCAAGTCAAGGATCTCTCAGAACTAATAAAAATTAAAACAATCAAGCACACTTGACATTCGAGAACTCCAAATCTTACAGTGAATGACATTTAAAAATAGTTATATTCTATTTTAAACAGCGTACTTTGAGAAGATTATTACAATTACAGGAAAAAGATTTTGAAAAATACACATGAATTTGAAACAGGATTAGAATTAAAATACTTCAGTCCACAGAAAATGCAATAAAGCCAACACACATACCTTGAAATATTTTCTTCTAATACGTGTCATATTCATTAACATGACTCCAGAATTAATTCCAGTTACTCCATAATAGGGATGTCTAGCAAAGCGATTATACCACCCAATACGAGGCTCTTCGTGTTCTGGTGCCATTGCAGCGATTTGTGTAGAGTTGAACTTTCCCAGAAAAGACCAAATATCATCAACAGGCCTCAAAAACAGGATGTCGGTATCAACATACAGTAGTGAATCCACATTTTTGAGGATTAACTGTGAGAGAAAGAAATTTAAAACCAAACTTTTTAGTTTTATTGAACTTCTCTTCATAAAACAGAAGTTGTTGCCATTACACAATAAAGTTTAACACATTTTTGCCATACGCAAATAAACTCATTTTAGGCTGACAGTTTGCAGTCAATGAATTTGCCATCACTCCTCTCATTTTAAAGAATTTTTGTAAAGGAAACAGAGGTTTTATACAGAATAGTAACGCAAAGGCACTCAGTCTACATTTTATATGCCAGGGCTCCTCAGGAGTAGGTTTGCAGGCCAGGTGAAACATTACTCTAACAGGAGCTCCTATCTTGCTCCCGTTCCCTTGCTTTCCCATGCAGATAACCAAAAAAGGGAGAGATGTAAAAGCCCCAGAAGAGACAGTGTTTGGGAGACAGCTGCTACTGCTCTAATTCATCAAACCTGAAGAATGATTTCTGAAGTGTCTTAGACGAGCAAAATAAAAAAAGGCTGCACAAAACACTGGCAACAATAGCCCATTTCTTGTTTCATTTTCTCTAACACTTCTCAGACCCATGTGTGCAGGAAACTTTTCAAACAAATGAGCAGATGAGGCGTGATAAATCCTTCTTACCTCTGAGAGGATGACATGACCTATACCTCTCTCTGAGGATACTGTGCCATAATGCAGCAAGTGAGAAAAGAACTTTTATTCCATAGGGTAACTAGTGCCACAGAAGGTGGTTAAATTCACAGGATTTTTTAGGATGTCATAAAAGTAACTTTCAGGAGTAGTAGTAGTCCTTCATTTTAAACCAAGCAGATATCAGATTAACAAGGACAGCTTGATCCTTCATAAACAGACTTCATTGTCCTATTACAGAGTAACTTACTGGCAAAAATAGCCTTTGTGAAGCACATGGTTTAAACAATTTCTTCCATTCTGCTGCACTCTCAGTTGGAAATGTTATTGGATATAACGTGTAATTAACTTTTCCTTCATAGGGGAATTCGTCAAGCTATATGAAAAGAAGAAATCACAGAAATTACTTCAGTTCAATTCTATTAAAAAAAATAAATCAATCCCCCATTCAAAGTCATAATTGAACACAACTACAACATCTCTTTTTCATAACAGAAATGCTTCTTGAACTACAAAAATCTGTCAGTTAATCAAAATAATCGGAAAAAAAAGGGCACCTGCAGGCCACTATGAAGAAAACACATCATATCACATCATATGCAAAAGGAAGAGGACGTAAAATAAATTAGCATTTACAAAAAGTAAGTACATTAAATAAAACTCCTCCCCTCGACTAGTTTCCACAGGAGAAATAACAGGAAGTCTTTCTAAATTTAAAATAACTTACTCCACTTTTGCAAGTTACTGCTTGCATAACATTAGCATATACACATAAGCATGTATAACATATTCATGTCACAGTTAATATGACATTTTAAGCACAAAAATAAAACCTTCCATATATCCTAGTCCACTTCTAAAACTGTTACTACAGTCATAATGTTATATTCATTAACTAGAATTTACTAAAATCAGACATAACCATATCTACCATTTTCAAAAACTGATCTTTCAGTTTGTCTCAACAATTCAAGGCTGACTCATGCTGTAAGCAGAGGGACAAAAAAAGGACAGATCTCTAATTTTTTCTTGTAAAGCCAACTTTAAATAAGCTCACACAAGATAACAGATAACTGGTTTGTATTCAGAACATAGGTTTGTATTTAACAGATTTAAGGTGACAAATCAGGAAGATTTGGTCTATCTCTAGGAGGAACTTTGATATCAGCAACTGGTACTCTTCCACAGGAAAAAACCCTCAAAAATCTCCATTCAACATTACAAATGTCTTATTTTATTTCTAGACCCTTGCATTTCTGTCACTGTATCAAACAACTACTACCCAAGTAGAGAAATTGCAATATATTACCCAAATTGTGCCACAGATTGATTGAATTCATTCTTCGAATACTTACTATGTCTTTGAAACGCTCATGTAATTGGTCCTCAGCAAAAATATGGAAGTGGAGAGGTCTGATGCTGAAAATAACGGCTGATCTCAACATAGTAACCGTTTCTTCCAGTCTTTCACCACAGGCCACCACTGCTAGATGCATTTTCTCAGAAGGATGTGTTTTCATATAATCATATCTGATACAAAAATATTTTTTCATTTGACATTATTTCTAGCACATGCTTAAAGAAAAGCACTACTATTTACTGCAGGAAGTAACTTAACAAAATACCCTTTATCATACTTAAACCAGCAAAATATAACTCAAAGAGAATGTGCAAACTTCAGCATTACACCTCATATAGATTACGTTAACCTCAACCATTCTCGTATTCACTCCCACTATCCCAGCCTACAACAGAAAAACCAGGCATAGAAGAGCCACACAGAAACTACACAAACATTTACTTTCTTAGTAACTTTACTATCCATTAATAGCAGGGAATTTCATCAAAATAGCTATTTTAAAGGAAAGACTACATGAAGTTACATTAAAATGTGTAAGGGGGATAGCATATTCAGTCTATACATGAGTTGATTTTTTTCCCCTTTCCCTGGGATAAAAATGACAAATACAGTAGAGTTAAACTCAACAGCAGAAGTGAGATAACCTCTACTTTCAGGAAGTTCTGTTATGTTAAGCATATTCAGTCTATACGAGTTAATTTTTTCCCCTTTTCCTGGGATAAAAATGACAAATACAGTAGAGTTAAACTCAACAGCAGAAGTGAGATAACCTCTACTTTCAGGAAGTTCTGTTAAGAACATTTTTGACTGATGTAGGCATTTTATCCATCTTCTGCTCCAGTAAGTCCTTCTTTGCCAAACCCATGTTTCAGCACTTCATCTAAGCACTGAGAAAACACAAAAAGTTTTCTCCTATACTTCCATCTTGCAGGAGTATAACTTGGGTTGGAAGAGGCAGCAGACTAATAGCTCAGGTGGCTTTGTATTGTGGAATGCCCTCGTGCTCCCAGTGGTTCTGGAAAATCCCTCAGGTACACTGACCACATGCACTGTCCATGTCCTTGAGGCTAAACCACTGCAAGGTGTAGGGACTGGGAAATCCTTTACTCCTGAAGATACCTGTGCAACAGTTATAGTGTGTATTGGAATGTCTTTTACAATGTACATTTTGAAGTTATTTCATTACTTTAATACAATAGGCTAAAATTATCATCAGGTAAATATCATTAACTTGGTGGCAAACAGTGGGCATACTAAACCTAAAACCATATTCTCCTGGATTTCATATATTTAATTAGTCAGAAAAGCTTCCAAAGATTTTAAACATACATCAACTCAAAGGCCATTTTCAAAACAATATGCATTGAGCTATTTGCACAGACTATGGGAAGAGGGGGGCTAACAGAACTAAGAGTATCTGAAGGTTTAAATTGCAAGTTTAATGCCAAATTATGCAGACAAAACCAATACTGAAGTTAGAAAATGCTTTCCTAAACTAGTAACAATAGAGAAATGCTTGACAAACCACCTATTCTTAGAAACTTGTCAGACAGAGACACTTCAAAACAGAAATTAACAGATGTGACTCTTAGCACAATCTCCATCCAATTTATGTAACTGTGTACATATAAGTTTTCCTTTAAATTGACAATAGATAGTATGTAAATATGCCTTTTTTTCTTTAAGGCATAGAAGAGCAATACACATTATTTTCAGTTACATGAGGCAAAATATAGGCAAAGTTATCACTGTAAAACTGCTGAATTTTAGTGCCATAAATAATTGCTACATTTAAAAAACATTCTGAGGTTTGAAAGAATTTAATGCTATGGAACAAAAAAAATACAGTATTCCAGGGATTTAAGATTAATAAAATTTTAACTAAAACATGCAAGCCAGTCTTAAGTCAAGGCTTGGGGTATTATTAAAAATCCCATGGATGAAAGACCTCATAGGTCAGATTCAGATCCAAAGCAGGGGACATAAATGAAGATGCTAACATATGAGACCGTGTCCCAAGTCTCATTAAAGTCAACAGAGATCTAGTGAGCAGGTTATGGAGTATAGACAGTAATTCGTCTTATTTCAAAGTAAACACTTAAGGCTTGAATCAATTTTTAACATAGGTGTAGCGCCATTTAATAAGCTCTAGAATATTGCACCTGATCTTCAGGTGCCATTCCAAAAAGACTGAGTGTTTCAAAGATGATATTGTATCTACTAGTCCTAATGAGATTTCTAGGATACCCAAGTGCTCCTCGATTAACACTAACCATTTACTTCTCAGCAACCAAATGGCTAGTCACCTGGATCACCCTCTATGCTCTTTCAATTCTAATGACTGTTTAAGACCCCCTTGACATAGACACCAACATGCAGACATCTATATTCAGACCGTTTAATCTGCAGACTGAAACCTTTTGTAAGTCTTGCAGCAAAATCTGGAAAATTAGTTTAGATTAACACACACACAAAACATCCTGAAATGTAACCAAGGCATGCCCATTCAGACTTTTATACATAAAGCTAATTTAAACATTACACCATGTAGTAAGTAGTAATGTAAAAAACACAATGCAAGCTGAATATGATGAGGGCAGTTGAAATCCACAAGTAAGTACACTGCTACAGTGTGAACAAGCTGCAAGCAGCAGATTAGCCTCATCACTAATCCACTGACAAGGGAATTACAATAATTAAGCCCTGAAGTCATGAAAGCCTACAGTGATATTACAAGGTCATGTTATAAATAAGGGCAAAATGAACACAAACTGCACAGCTGCAAGCCAAGCTCCTGAACCACATGTAACACAAGGCTTTCCATGAATAAGGTATGGCAAAGATTATGCCAAAGCAATTCTAAAATGTACTGAGATTCAAAGACTGCATTTTATTATTTCTACATCTAGTGACATCTGCGAATAAAAGAACATTTCAAACCACACAACAAAAAAATGACTGATTGTATTAAAATGCTTTTACAGTTGCTTTGTTCATACAATCTCTGCTATATGAATTTCTGACTCAATTTTTTAAATCTGTGCTTAAAAATAATTCTTAAAGGCAAAAAAAAAATTAGAAAGAACTAACAACAACTGAATTTCAGTGTGTACAACACGGGGAACAGCTGGACTCAAATCCATAAGTTCACAACAAAGTTTTATCCCTGAAACAGATGGAGCAAGAAACTGTTGGAAAGAACAGGCTGCCATCCCCTCTGGGGACTGTCCACTACAAAGGGATTGAGACATATTAGATCTCAGAAATATATTAAGGCAGAAGTTATGAGACTCCAGAATTGTGGTTCTTACTGCAGACTTTTAGTGAGAAGAGACATTTTTTAGTGATTATAAGTTGCATTTTACTTCCCTGCATAGAGACCACTGAGAACTAGAGCCTCCTTTTCAGTAACCAGGCCTCAGTGCTGCTCCTCTCCCTGCATATACACCTCCCTCCACTCCCAGAGGGAAAGCCTATCCTTCATCCAAAGACACTAACTACTTACTGCTAACCCTCAGCTGGCTCAGCTGGGAGCGTCTTTCATCACTTTTTCCTCTTCCTGACACTAGAGGCAGCATAAAATGTAAATTGTCCAGCAGAGCTTATCAACTTGAGCTCTATAGTCTTACCTTTAATATGAACGTGTCCCACCCACAGAGACAATTATCTATCCTATGACTTGTCTCACTCCCTTCTTTAATATTATGTCTACATGGCTTTGGTCTTTCCCCTAATTCCTTTCAAAATTATCTGCCTTCAACTGCTCCCTTCTCTACTTCTCCTTTCTGAATTTTCCAGCCTCTGTAACCCTTCTCCCCATCTTTCTCCACTCCACTTAGGCATGCAACTACCTCATCAGTAGCCTGGGAAAGGAGAAATATGCTCATTTAGACATCCCGGTGTCTGGTATGACCAAGTGACATAAGATCTTTTAGCAATAAAATTTTCTTAGCAGTTCAGCAGCTGACTTGACAATGAGCAAAATAAAATTTATTTTACAAGAAGAGTAACTTTTCTGAACCTGAGCCAGTTTGGTATCAGAGTATCACAGCTCTGATATGAACCCTTATTGAACCTCAAATGCAGGTTCTGAAAGGGTTAAGACACTTTCAAAAGTGAGATACTTCCAAAAAAAATTGTTGAGAGGCAACGTGGAAAACACAAAAAATACAAATGTAGATTTTTATATGCACATTTCTAATTACTAATAGCCTGTTCTTTTGGTATGGGAGAACTTAGTGGAGAAGTCAGAAGAAGCAATAGAGTGAAATACAAAGTGTATTTTAGTAAGTATTTTGGATAGACTCACAAAGAAAACTTGACAGCCCTACTTCCTAGAGAAAAAAAGATCTCCAGTAAAGTGGGAGTCCTAGCTCCTGCAGGGAAAGAAAAACTTCTGGTAACTAAAAGAAAGAATGCAGCTGTAACCCAGTAGAAGATACTGATCTGGATGCCATGACAGGATTTCAGTCTCTAGGGACAAATAAGAGAACTTCATTTGTCTGAGGGTGCTAATTACACATGAGGGGTAGGGATAGTAAAAATAAATGAAATAAAGCACTTGAGACAGAGGTCCACGCATACTCCCATGTGTTTAGAAAACATTTAAAACAATCTACTTGGACACCATATACTTTAAAACACGCTGCTCAGCAGCAGCATAAAGTGAGGTACAAGCCTTGCCCTGAAGTATTTCTGTGTCAAGTGTAGACCTTCATTCTATACTGATTAATTCTGCTGTGGGGTTAATAACCTCTGAGAGGAACATAGCTGGATATGCTCAATAAACTTGCTACAAGGTTTTCCAGAGCCTATCTGTCAAGACATTGCCTGCTATTTAAAGATGTTTACCATGACGCATTGTATATTAAATTAGCTTTTCTAGGTCAATTAAAACTATGAAGCTATACTTTGGTAGTAGGCTACAAAGGTATGTTTTGACAGGTTACTCTTCTAGAACCTTCACTGCATCCCAGCTGGACTTCTTGGAAAAAACAAACAACTCAAATTTTATTGTCACTAAAATATCCACCAGCTCCACAAAAATCTTAGCTCTGTCCTCCAAACTCGACACAAGGTACCACAGTGGGAGTCACTTGCATTTGTTTAAGGTAGGGTTTTCCTATTCTCACATAACACGTGAATACAGGTGAGAGGTTACCAAACTCTC